GATTTTTGGCAAGAATGGTCTCTGTATTATTGTTACTCTTTTATTGTTGGAAACTTTATTTTTTTGGGGGGACAAAACTGCATTTTTCGTCCCTGTGGTTATCCAAAAATTGTGGATAAGGTCCAAAATGTTTTCAAGTTGCATGGTTGGTCCAAAACATGAAACTTCTTGTGGTTTTGGTCCCTGGAGTTAACTCCCGTCCATTTCCTTCCATTTAGTGTAGCTCGTGCCCTCCATGTGAGAGTAATTTCGTTTTTTTATCTATTGGTCCCTGTGGTTTGAAAACTCCTTTAAGACTCAACCCACAACGTCTCTCTTCTCTTTCATCTTCATTCAGATAACACATCTTTCTCTCTTACTCTTTCTTGGTTGATCGATTTCTTTGTTCACTCACAATGGTGCAACAACTATGTTTTTGTGGAAGAGATGTTGTTGTGCGAACCTCCTGGACAGATTTAAACCCTGATCGTCGTTTCTTTGCATGCCCTAAACAGGTAACAATGTGCAAACTTAGGTCGACGATTTTGATTTAATAATCCATCCACTTTTCTGTATAATTGTAGGATTCAAAATGTGGATTTATTGGGTGGGTTGACCCCCCCATGTGTCCAAGATTGACAACTATAATACCAGGATTGCTGAGAACAATCAACATGCATGAGCTGGATTTGGGGAATATGCAACGTGATTCAACAAAACTCAAGATGTATTTGGTTATAAGTTGGGTTCTGCTTCTTTTGGTTATCTACTTTAGGAATTAGGGCTTACATGTTAGGGTGTACTTTTTGGAAGATTGTTGTAATGTTGTGTTTTGGTGTTGGTTTTTCTAAGCTGGAAGTGTTAGTTTTTGTTATAAATTGTAAGCTGAAAGTGTTAGTTTTTGGTTATCAATGGTAACTTGTTTTAATGAAATTGTTAGTTTTTGTTATAAATTGTCTTAGTAGTTTTTGTTATAAATTGTCTCAGTTGAAATGGTTATGATAATAGTGTATGGTGCAATGCTGAAAATGTTAAATATTGACTATGATGTTAACCATAACAGAATACCAGAAAGTACATTACCAATAACTGCTTTAACAAAACAAAAAACCAAACATTACCATTAAGCAGTACCAAAATTATATAGCTATTGCATAACCATGTTCAAAAGTGCATAACCATTACATAACCAAGTTAAAAAGGGCATAAATATTACTTAATAACTATAGTTTTAAAACATTACCAACTATTACAACCACAAATAAAACAAAAAATCTAGTAGCCTACCCTTGCAACATTACCATTAAGCAGTACCAAAATTACATAGCTATTACATAACCATGTTCAAAAGTGCATAACCATTACATAACCAAGTTCAAAAGGGCATAAATATTACTTAATAACTAGAGTTTTAAAACATTAACAACTATTACAACCACAAATAAAACACAAAATGTAGTAGCCTACCCTTGCAACACTTCAAACTTCATTTGCTTGACTGGTACCTCCATTCCCCCCCCCCCTTACCCTTGCATGTCCTGGCATTATGGCCCTTGTTCTTACACTTACTACATGTCACACTCACAAATTTCCTAGTTAGCTTCTGACTTTCACATTGACCTTGTTGTGGGTTCTCTTTCTGACTTTGGCTTACACTCTTCTCATCAGCAGTCTGCCTCCTTTTCTTTTTTGGTCTTCCTGGCTGCTTGTGGTGTGGTGGAGGGGTAAGGGTTGTTGGACAATCACTCTTAGGCCACATGCTCCTTCCTTTGATGGGGTCGACTGTGAAAGAGTACATGCTTTTCCATGTTTCTAGCCAATACACCTTATGCACATAGGTGTACAGTTCTCCTACTTGCTCACCATTGTCTGCCATTTCATTGATTGTTGCAATTGCATGCTTGCAAGGAATGCCTGTCAACTCCCATTTCCTACAGCTGCAAGTCATCTGCCCCATGTCCACAACATGTTGATCATGCCATGGCCCTTTAACCTGGTACTTACTCACTCCATTCCATCTTGCAGTGTATTGTGAAGCACTTGATATGTTTACATGTAACAACCTTTCACCAGTAGGTGTTAGTGTACATGTGCACTTGTTTATCACCTTCATCATATTACAAACTCTTTTCATAAGATATTCCCTTATGAACTCCAAACAGGTTATTATTGGTTTATCCCTTCCTTTTACGAGCTTACTGTTGAAAACTTCACACAAATTATTCAACAACATATCTGACATTGCCCTACCTATTATTATATAGTACATGTTGGTAAGCAAAATCAATGGGAAATAATGAAAATATATAAAATTATACAAATAAGTAATTACCTGAGAAATGGCTTCTAGCCCAATGATGGGGAGGGATTTTCATAAGCCATTCATATGCTTCCACGTCATAGGATCTGAAATCTCTCATCAGTGTTTCAAACCCCGGGATGGTTGTGGCTTTAGCACAATTCCACAAATGTTCCTTGTACTCTGTTGTCCTCCATACTTTTCTCATATTCTCATAGATATGCCTTAGACAATATCTATGTTCAGCACAAGGAAATATTTGTGCAATAGCAGGTATGAGACCTTGTTTACATGAAGGAAATAGCTAAATTAGTATATAAGTATAAGTTAGTTGTCTAGCAAAATATGTTAACCATAAAAGTACCTTCTGTCTGTCACTGATAAATGTGAAGTTTGAGTTAGCATGAATGTCCAAGTGTGACATCCCCAAAATCTCGGCCAGAAAAGACCGATTTTCATTTATGCTTTTAAAATAAATTCAGAGTAAATCCTTTTGATTTGAAAGAGTTGCGGAATTCGTTCCCAAAAACAAAACATGATAAAACAATGTTTACCAAAGCATTTCATAAAAGAAATGTATTTTTCATTATATAATCAAAATCGGGGTGTCATGTTCCGATATAGACCAATAAGCATAAACGATAACATTACAAGTCATTCAACAAATATTTACATATACAGACTTGTAAACAAAACAACTTGATGGTTCATCCATCTTACACCCTTGCGCCACTTCCTGTAATACAAATAAAACTGAGTGGGTCAGGTGGAGCCTGGTGAGCATATAGGGTTTTCAACCCACAATAAATAATTAAATTAATTATTATCAACCAATAATAACCCAGTTACCCATTCCCGTTATTCTCACTTTACGTCCCTAAAATAACTAACACAAGGGACCTAGTCTAAGAATATTTTCATCGAGGTGACAACACATGCTGCGGGGTTTCCTCAGCAATATAAGTCAAATAAGGCAACCATGAGGGGGATGGAATACAGCGAATGAACACCCAAGTTCATTAACACCTACAGGTTATGAGCCTGCTAGCGTTCCACCGGACTGTCTAGAAAAGTCCGTGGTCGTCATCTAAATTCCGCTAGATGACTGGATCAAAACAACAACGCATTCACACGTATAAACGACAATAAACTTAATACCCTCGAACCATACTTGTATTATTATTGCGTTTATGAAAGGTAGTATACACTCACTTGATCAGAAGATGATCGGACAGCACTACGGCTTGCAGAAGTAGTAATCCTCCGCAGATCTGGAAGATCTCTACGAAAATCGAACTTCTCGCGGGCAGAGCTTCGGCTCGGAAACCGCACTTCTCGGGATCTTCGGGATCTCGGGATTCGCTTCGGGACTCGAGAATATTACCGGGACTTCGGGATGGCTTCGGGGGTAAAAACGTAGAGCTTCGGCACAAAAACGAGAGGAAATTAGCAATTTGGCCGGCTGCCCTCGCATCCTATTTATAGGAGGCTGGAAGCCTCTCGTACGCGGGGCGTACATGCGTACGCGGGGCGTACGTGCCTCAGAAACGTAAGCGCATGCGTCATCCGAAGTGTCGAAACTCTTCGGAGTACGCGGGGCGTACTCACTTACGCGGCGCGTAAGTCGGATCGGATCGATGACTCGCCTTCGGATAATGCTTCCGAATTTTGATTTAAAAATAAATACAAATTAATTAATAAACTTCGGAAATTCGTATCTTCTTCATACGAACTCCGTTTTCGACGTTCTTTATATCCACGGAAAGGTGAGACTACGCTCTACAACTTTCGTTTAGACTCCGTCGGCTAATTTTGAATTTATTTTTATTATTTATTTTTAATAAGCCGGGACAGAAAATTTCGTTATAAATTCATAACTTCTTCGTTTGACGTCCGTTCTCGCCTAACTTTTTATCGCTTTGATACTAACAACGAGATCTTCGATTCTCGTTTAGATCACTAAGGCTAAATATCGCTTTAACGTAAATTTCACTTTTTACGTTATTCAGCGTTGCCGGTTCTGTCGCGAAACTTCGACAGGTCATAACTTCCTCGTTATAACTCGGATTTCGGCATTCTTTATATCTTCGGAAACCTTGTTTCAACTACTACAACATTATCTAAAGATATCAAGTTTATTTTACACTTCAATTTTGATGCTTATTTTTATTCTTAATTAATCAAACCACATAATTAAGCAATTAAGCACAAAACACATAATACTCAAATAATACACTTATATTATTTCAAAACGGGTTACAAAGGTTAACCTAAACCATTACATTGATAAAAATGGCAAGCCCAGAAACACAGGCGTTACACCAAGTCATCTCCAAGACATTCCAAAAACCATTTCCAGCTATCGGTGTTCTCAGTCTCCACAATTGCATATGCTAGGGGATAGATTCCATTGTTGGAATCAACCCCAACAGCTGTAAGAATCTGACCTGGGAATGGTCCTTTAATGAATGCACCATCCAAACCTAAAAAATCCCTCATCCCAATCTTAAACACTTTCTTTAAAGCTCCTAAGCACACATACATCCTTTTGAATTGCCTGGTTGAGTTGTTACAGTTAGGCTCAGACTCCACTTGAATTTTTACAGTTGTATCCACATTTGTTGCTTGTAACTCTAACACATAATCTCTTAAAACTGCATACTTTTTAGTATAGTCTCCGACCACCATTTTTGTTGTGAGAGCTTTAGCCCTAAAAACTTTGTCACTCTAACACATACATCCTTTTGAATTGCCTGGTTGAGTTGTTACAGTTAGGCTCAGACTCCACTTGAATTTTTACAATTGTATCCACATTTGTTGCTTGTAACTCTAACACATAATCTCTTAAAACTGCATACTGTTTAGTATAGTCTCCGACCACCATTTTTGTTGTGAGAGCTTTAGCCCTAAAAACTTTGTCACCCGAAATACTAACCTCATACTTCCTCTGTAGCTCCTCTTGAATTGCACGAATTGGCACTCCAGGATTTGATTCAATCTGATCCATAATCTGTTTCGAAATGAAGGTGGCAGTGCAAGATTTGATTTTTCTGGACTGAAGGCATATGTGATTGCGATTATATGTCTTTACAAACCAGTACTCATTATCATTTTCCCTAGAAGCGTGGAGTCTCCAAGTACACTTGGCCTTTTCTTCAATTACTTCTTTGCCCTTTACCTTTTTTGTGGTAGGTCCACCAACCCTACTTGCATTGACTACCACAGTTCCCTTACAAACAGATGTCAACCTATGTTTGTCATTTTTTGTAAAACAAATATTTCTTCTAGTCTCTAATGCATGCCTATCAATTTCTTTCCTTTAGTTCTTTTTTTTATTTATATTTTTGTCCTACATGGAAGGCCACCTTGTGCACTTCACCATGAGAACACACTCTCTCCTTGCCTAACTGTTTGATGATCTCCCTTCTTTTCCTATCATTGTCTGAGTCTTCACCCATAGAATCCCATTCATCATTGTTAATAACCTCTATATCCTTTACTTCCTCTTGAACATCATTACCCTCATGAAACTTATACACACTCCCTAAGTACTCTGCATCTGTGTCTATACTCATGTAAAAATTCTCCATGTCTACTTCAATATATGGAATTAGGTTATCTTCATCAACCATAAAGTCACTATCTTCACTGTTGTCTTCACTGCTATCTGAATCATCATCATTACTTGCATCTACATCAGCCATGCTGGATGGTTTTTTTGGAATACTTTCATTAAATTCAACCCCATAGAAAGGGTCAAAATCTTCCAACATTTCCTCTTCTACACTATAGTTGTCTTCAAAAGGGACTTCATTTGATTGGTGTTGCTTATTCATAGCAGTACACCCCTCCTCTACACCCTTATTTGCAATAGGTTGCCCCTCCTCTACATCTTCATTCACTAATTTTTCAACCATTTCTACATCAGCATTAGTAGTCACAAGGTCAACTTGATCACCTTCAACAACACTTATTCCTCCTTTGTCTACCCAATCTAAGCAAAGATTTTTACTACATGATGAGCTACCTTGGGTAGGTTTCCAACCTCTGCCCCTACTCAACTCAGGTGTGAAAAACCCATACCTTGCCAAGGTCAACCCTACAGTAGGGGATACGGGTTGAGGTGGTTCCTCATCTTCAATCTCTTCTATTATAACCCTTTTAGGACCATTTGGGGACATGAAATAGGTAACTAACGTTGTTTCTCCATGCTCTGTGTACACTTTTATCAGTTTGTTCTCACTCACGTATTTTGATAGGTTACGTACATCATCATCATTACCTAGAGCTCTTAGTCCAAAATCCAAACCCTCATTGGGCAAACGGAAATGGTAGTAGATGACAGGTGGAACAACATACCCTAAATCTAACATGATGGAGTCTATTTTGTGTACTGAGAATTCTTCTATATCGATCACGTCAATGTATGCTACAACCCCTTCAATATACTTGATGCCTGGAAACTTTGTGAACTTCCCACCATGATGAAGTTCCATACTAAACATGGTGGGATTTCCAGCTTAAAAAAAAACAAAAAACGATTTTTACATTTCAAAAGTGTAAGAACGTGATCAAATACAGAGCATCTTACCATAAATTTGATTGGGATCAATTTCTTCACCGTGTGCTCTGATGGACCACATTGTCAGAACTATTTGCGAAATTTCAACTACAGATTGAAGCTCGATCAGGAAAAGGGTTTGTGATTAGGGTTTTTTTTATCTTCATGTCGTCAAAGGTGGATGAAGGAATAGGAGTAGCCAACTGATAATTAGGGATGATATACACAAATAGGCTACAGAGATTTCAATTGGTGGTAATGTGTAATACAAATGAAAAGACGAAATTACCCTCACATGGAGGGCACGTGCTACACTAAACCAAAGGAAATGGATGGGAGTTAACTCCAGGGACCAAAACCACAAGAAGTTTCATGTTTTGGACCAACCATGCAACTTGAAAACATTTTGGATCTTATCCACAATTTTTGGATAACCACAGGGACGAAAAATGCAGTTTTGTCTTTTGGGGGGTTTTGTGGAAAATTAAATCTCAAAGGGAGTTATGAACAAGGATTCGGCATAATTGGTCCTTTCATTTGCTGTAGATCGAAATGGGTCCAACAATTTATTGAAATGGCAAGTTGGTCCTTGCAAGAATAACAAATGTTCAGTCAATGGGTCATCTACGTCACTCTTCTCTTTCACCACCACTGTTCATTCAACAAACGTGTCATCTTCTCTTTTACCACCGCTTCCACCGCCTATAGGTAGTCCACCGCCTGGATACTTTTAATCCTCATCTCCACCTCTTTAGTCAACTAACGCTTCACCATGGCTCCTCTAATGTTGACCAAATGTTTTGTTGGTTTGATTCCACCCTTCCAGTCGGGCCCGACAACCGTCCGGTTTCAAGATCACAAATTTCCTTCCATCAAAAGGTTTCAACATCGAAAAATTTCCTCCACTGTTCCAATCATTACCAAATCAGTTAAGGTAGGTTTCTACCAGCACGCAGTCTCATACAAGTTTTCTTTTATTGTAACGTCATAAATTCCGAAACCAAAAATTTTCATTTTTTTTTTTTACAATCATCAAAACATTGAGTAATAAGTTTAGGTTCCAATGTAACAATTTATTCACAACCGATTACATAATGAAAGATCACAAAATGGTTTCCCCGAGTGTGTGTACGATCACGCCGGCGCCTTCCCACGGTCCTCGCTAGTACCTGAAACACATAACACAACCACTGTAAGCATAAATGCTTAGTGAGTTCCCCAAAATACAACCTACGCACGTATGCCTTTCCAGGCCTTGACCTTCCGGTCCATGTGTCTCAGGGGACTTCCGTCCCGACTGGGTAAACCTTCCGGTCCTACCCACGTCAACCTTACGGTCCATATGACCACGCCTTCCGGCCCATTACATGTTGCCTTCCGGCCCAAATCAAGCATATCATACACGGCACATATAACGAATAACTTACCACACATAGACATATATCTCATATCATAATCGACCTTCCGGTCACACAGTCAAACCCTTCCGGGTACAGTATAGTGAGAAGACTCACCTCGTATGCCTCGCTAATCGTGAACCCTGGAATCACTCGTGCTTGAACCCTCGAGCTGTAATCCTCCTATGATATCATGAATCTATAATTATTACATGTACCACTAAGGTTGACCATCCATATCAAGTCAACACAGGTTGACCTGGTCAACAGTCTTTGGTCAATTGGACCGGACTCGGCGAGTGCACTATAGTGACTCGGTGAGTCTACGCGTTTTAACCAACTCGCAAGGATTTTCCCTTTGACTCGTCGAGTACTCCCCCGACTCGACGAGTTCCACCTGGGCCTGAATCACGGGGCCACCACAACTCAACTCGCCAAGTCGCAAGGACAACTCAGCGAGTCCCAACTTGACTCGGTCCACCTGTTAAAACCTTTCTAACTCTCTGCGACTCGCTGAGTCACCCACAACTCGGCAGGACTACACACTGGGTGGTCTCAAGGACAATCTTCAAGCGACTCGTCGAGTCTGTTCTTCAGACTCGGCGAGTCCATGCCATGCATCAGCTAAAACTGGCTTTTGCGGTCAGATCCGTTCCATACACACATAGATCTGGCCTTCCCAAGCTTATTTATCACGTAAAGTCTCAGTCTTGGTCGCCATGCAATGCATACAAGGCTCATTTTGGAGAAATATCCTCTAATATGGCAACCCTAGCTTCTAACTCAAAAGAGTGGACATAAAGCTTGTCATATGGGGCCTCCTGGACCTGCTAAGGTCCAGATCTAGGTTCCATATCTCCATTGGACATTTCATACTTCCAATTTAAGCCAAATAAGGTAAGAAGAAACCCTAGATTTGACACATCAAGCCAAAATACGAAGTTAGCTCTGAAAGTTACCTCAAGAAGGTTCCCTTGATGAAATAGAAGCAGATCCAAGCTCCCCAACTCTTCAAGCTTGACCTTCTCCCTCCTTTCTTGCAATAATACAAAAAATGATGAACAAATGGCCTCTTATCACACTCACAAGGGCTCACAGTCGTATGGGTGCACTTAGGGTTCAAGGTGGCCGCAAATGAAGGCCATAAGGTCCTTTAAATAGGGCTTAGGACCGGGAAATTAGGGTTTCATTAAACAGCACGGACTCGCCGAGTCCATCCCTTGGACTCGTCGAGTCCAGACGCGAACCTCCGCCCAAAACCGCGACCCGACTCGGTGAGTTCGACCTCCAACTCGCCTTGTCCCCTCACAGAAAATCAAAAATGTGAAAGTAAAGATACCTGGGGATCCGTGCTGTTACAATTCTCCCCCACTAGAATAAGACTTCGCCCTCGAAGTCCCCGCTAGGCAAATAGCTCCGGATGCTGCTCCCGCATCTGACGTTCCGGCTCCCAGGTCATCTCGGATCCCTTCCGATGCTGCCACTGAACCAATACCAGGGGTACCTCCTTGTTCCTCAAAACCTTAATCTTCCGATCTCTGATGGCTACTGGTCTTTCAACATAATTCAGGCTTGCATCCACCTGAATATCCCCCAATGGAACCACCGCCGATTCATCGACTATACACTTCCTCAACTGCGACACATGGAAAGTGTCGTGAATCTGTCCCAACTCTGCTGGCAAGTATAAACGGTAGGCTACTTGGCCCACCCTCGTGGTCACACGGAAAGGACCAATATATCGGGGGCCCAACTTGCCCCTCTTCCTGAACCGAATCACTCCTTTCCAAGGAGAGACCTTCAGGAGTACAAGATCACCAACTTGAAACTCAAGCTCGGACCGTCGTCTGTCTGCATAACTCTTCTGTCGGCTCTGAGCGGTCAACAACCTCTGCCTGACCAGTTGCATTTGCTCGGTCGTCTGAAGCACGATCTCCGTGCTACCTATAACCTGCTGTCCTACCTCACCCCAACATATGGGGGTGTGAAACCTCCGCCCATACAACAGCTCAAAGGGTGGCATACCAATGCTCGAATGATGGCTGTTGTTATACGAGAACTCTGCTAAAGGTAGATAGGTGTCCCAGCTTCCTCCGAAGTCCAACACACATGCCCGAAGCATGTCCTCGAGTGTCTGAATCGTCCGCTCACTCTGACCGTCTGTCTGGGGATGATATGCAGTACTGAAATGTAACCTAGTACCCAACTCCTCATGAAACTTCTTCCAGAACCTGGAAGTGAAACACTCGTCACGGTCCGAAATAATCAAGATCGGCACCCCATGCCGAGATACTACTTCCCTCACATATAACTCGGCTAACTTCTCCGCAGAAGAACTCTCGCTGATGGCTAGGAAATGAGCGCTCTTCGTTAGCCGATCCACGATCACCCAAATCGCATCGACTCCCCTCGCAGTTCGCGGTAACTTGGTGATGAAATCCATAGTGATTTGTTCCCACTTCCATTCAGGAATCTCTAGCGGTTCCAGCTTATCGTGCGGTCGCTGGTGCTCGTCCTTGACCTGCCGACAAGTCAAGCACCTCTCGACAAACCAAGCGACATCCCTTTTCATACAGGGCCACCAGTACTCCTTCTTGAGATCCAAATACATTTTCGTAGCACCAGGATGAATCGAGAATTTCGATCGATGTGCTTCCTCCAGCAAAATGGTACGCGCACCGCCCACAAACGACACCCAAATCCAACCCTGAAAAGTCATAAGCCCTCGACCATCCGTGACAAATCCTGATACCTGTCCTACAACCCGCTCCTTCTTCTGATGTTCTGGCTTTGCAACCTCCACCTGAGCTCCTCGAATAATATCCAGAATCGGGGTCAATACCGTCAATCTCATACAAATATCTCGGATTGGGGCGCTATCCGCCCTACGGCTCAACACGTCGGCTACCACATTAGCCTTGCCCGGGTGGTACAGGATATCACAATCGTAATCCTTCATCACATCCAACCACCTTCTCTGTTGCATATTCAGATTTGGCTGATCCATCAAGTACTTCAAGCTCTTATGATCCGTGTATATCGTACACCGAACCCCATATAAATAGTGTCGCCAGATCTTGAGGGCAAACACCACCGCCCCCAATTCCAGGTCGTGCGTGGGATATCTCGAATCATGAGGCTTCAACTGTCTCGAAGCGTACACTATCACATGACCCCTCTGCATAAGCACTGCCCCCAAACCCGATATAGAGGCATCACAGTATACCACAAAATCCTCCATCCCTTCCGGGAGTGCAAGCAATGGAGCCTCGCACAATTTCTGACGAAGCGTCTCGAATGAGGACTGCTGCTCCGGTCCCCATGAAAACGTAACACCCTTCCGGGTCATCCTAGTGAGCGGCACAACGATCTTGGAGAAATCCTTGATAAACCTACGATAATATCCAGCCAAACCCAGGAAACTCCTGATCTCGGTGGGCGATCTCGGCACCTCCCACCTCAACACCGCCTCAATCTTGGCCGGGTCGACCAATATCCCTTTCTGGTTAACAAGATGCCCGAGGAACTGGACCTCTCCTAACCAGAAATCACACTTGGAGAACTTGGCATACAGTCTCTCCGATCTCAAAACCCCAAGAATCTCCCTCAAATGTTCCTCATGCTGATCCCTAGTTCTTGAATACACCAAAATGTCATCGATGAATACGATCACCGACCGATCCAG